GACTGCACTGCTCACGGCTGCAAGAATGACAGCCTCATATGTCTGAAAGCTGACACTTCAGCTTTTAAAAGAAATGGGGAAAATAAGCTGTTGACTTCTTGGTTAAAGTATTTTCTTGTTCTAACTCATGTTCTTATGTCACTGGGCTAAAAAAAAGAGAGAGAGAGAGAGAGAGAGAGAGAGAGAGAGAGAGAAAAGAGAGAAGAGAGATATGACTTTCCTTGAATGATCTGTTTAACCTAAGCCAGGGGAAAAAAAAGAAAGTCATTAATTACTTATGTGAGCTATTGCTTCAGAAAGACAATAAACCTGCCCGGTCGCCATGGATATGACATATTTGCTCTGAAAACAACACAATAATTAGCAAAGGGGAAAGATACAAGGAGAATATGCAAACTCCTGAGTTTAAAGCTACAGTGCTCTTTTCTACGCTTAAACCTCTGTTCTGCTTGCAATCCAAATCAAACAAATTTTTAAAATATAGCAAAGGGGGAAATAACTGGAATGGCTCCTGTCTGAGCTGAGCTGAGAAGCAACACCCATTCCACTCCCTTCCAAAATAAAATAATATAAAAGAGAACCAGGATGGCAGAAAGAAAAAAAAATGTCAACAATTGCCTCTGTTTTATTTCCTATAGCAGGGGTGGAGTCTGAGGTTTGTTTTTTCTTTCTTTTCTATTCTTTTTTTTTTAAGTGTGCTCTTATTTAGCATTGGACCTTCTGGCCAGATATAAATTTATTTATGAAACCAAATGCCCTGTGTGTGGCTCACCCCTCCCCAAAGTGAATGGAAATGGGCAGGGGTGGAGGTGGGGGGCTCGAGTTAGAAAAGGAAAGCAGTATACTCAGAAAGCATCAGCTCCAGAGAGGGACGTCCTCTCCCCCCACCGCCAAGAAAATGGAACCCAGGCCTTACTTTAATATTAAAAATGCATTAAATGGTTTTACCTACAACTTAGTCCCAATGGATCATTAGGAAATGCAATCTCTTTGTATCATATCTGTCAGTGTGATAAACATCAGCATTCAGAGTAGATTTGCAATTTTTCAGAGTGTCACAAACCAAGATAATTTTTTTCTGCCTTATTTTGTTAATTCACTGTACCCACCCCCTCAAAGTCACAAGTCCACAGACTACCTGAGGAGAGGAGAGGAGAAGAAAAAGTTGATATGCTCTCACACATCAGACAGAGGTTACTGACATTTTCCTAAAAAGTAGGGAAATTGGGTCTTTAAAATATTTGGGTATTTAAAAAGAATTAAAGCACTCCATTAAGTTTGAATAAAAACTCTTCCCCTCTTCCCAGAGGCTAATTTTCCAAAAACAGATGGTCAGGATCTAAAAGAGAAGCAAATATACCTCAACCCCCACAGGCAGAGAAATCTAACTTTGAACTTCTTTTTAAATTAAAAAAAGGGGGGCAAGATAAACTATTAATAAGTATGAAAAATTAGCTGAGCTACAAGTTTTGTTTTTCTTATTCAAAAAATTCTTTAAACACAAGGGGAGCAGATATAAAGGAGAGGTTCACATTTGACTGACTTCCTATTTTTTTTTAACAATAGTTGTTTTTTTTTTTTTTAGATTGGACTCTTTGATCTTGAAAGAATTTTGCTCTTATATGATGGGGGAGAAGGGGGTGGTGGTGAAATGATCTGTTTTAAATGATGATGCAACCTAGGGATCAAAGCCTTCGCTTTCTTCTAGCCATAATAAGCTGTACTTGCCACAAAGCGTGAGTATCCCGGCTCCTCTCCTTGGTAAGAAGGAAATAAAATGCACCGAGACTCAGAAAGACGCGAAGTCTCTGCAAGGTGCAAAGTCTAAAACAAAAAACAAAACAAAACAAAAAAAGAGGGAGGCACTGCCCCTTTAAACGTTTTAGTGCATATGGAGTTTGATTTCTGAAAGAGATCAGTTTAACATCTCCATAGAAACCAGCAACAGATTATCATCAACAGAATAAATAACTAGTCTAATAAATTAAACAGAAGGCATAAGATCGCTGGAAACCTGATTACTGAAGTTCAACAATATTCCCCATAAACTCCTGTTAACCGCCTCTAAGGTGGCTAACAAGATGTGTGGGGGTGGGGGTGGTTGGGGGGGG